TTTTTTCCCCAAGTTTAGCCTGTCTTTTGCCCGTGACCATAAGTGGGGAGTGATCCCTCCCAGTCCTTGTCTCGACCCACGAGTGTTTCTTTATATTTTCTCTTCCTCATCCCACCGGGGCTGGGGGGGAGGAGTGAGCGAGCGGCTTCATGGTGCTTTGTTGCCAGCTGGGTTTAAACCATGACACTATGAAATATAAAAACAAGCAAATATCTTTAAAAATTGTTGTGAAGGAAACTCAAAAATCAAGAACAGCTAAAGGTGAAGCTCACACTAATACTTATCTTGCTTGTCTGTACCAAATTAACTAGTTGACCTTTCCAAGTATTATAATGTCAGAGTGATTGGCATGCCAGAACTAAGATTTTGTTTGTCCTTCTAGGGGATCTGACCTCTGGCTGCATGAATAGCTGTGCTGTACATTGCATTTACAAGATCAGGTACTTTTATAGATAGACAGTTTCTGTATTTTTGTATATAGAGAAAGAATATTGTAGATCAGTCATAAATGAATTCATAAATAGTCTGTAATACACAGAGTTCATTGCAGTTCATCACATTGATTCACTCTAGACTGTGGCAGTACTTTTCCCTCTCCACAGTTAATGCTGAAACCAACTTCTTGTGTGAAGTCCTCTCTTAGCTTCTCTATAGTTGTACTGAAGACAAAGGAGAAGGTTCTGCAAATTAAGCATGCCAGCTGTTACCTTGCTTTTTAAAAATTTTTTCTGGAATAGTTTTTTTCTCAATTTTGCTCCAAGTCAGCTTGAACTTCAAATGCTTCTCCATCCCATTATCTCTGTACCATTAGTACAAGGGATGGACTAACCCAGCGGCCAGGCCCTCCTCACTGCTGGGCTCTGCTGTGGAGCCACCCAGTGTGACTGTCTGAGCTATCGCCCTCCCAGCATGGACTGGTGTTACACCAGTCTAGCGTTAGTTCGTACAGGATATCTGGGAGAGGAGGAGGAATGAGTACCAGAAGACACCTCCTGTTCTTAATTTCTTCTTTATCAAGTATGCTTTTATGTGTGGTATCAGGAATTAAAACCAAATTATCCACATTAAATTACTGATCCTCCTGTAAGGACATAATACCATTTCAAACCCTTCTCCAAGGGATTCTAAAGCTGGAGAAGGTTATTCCAGGGGACTGGATTCAGAGTCGTGTGGGTTTGACCACCCTGCAGACCAATGCTTTCCAAAAGCACTACAGTCAGCTCAGTTTCCAGGGTTCAAAGCTCTGATTTCAGGCTGTTGTAAGACAAGCATAAACCTTCTAAAGTAAATGAGAAGCTATCGACAAATTTGCAGTCCATTGTTTTTAATGCTTATGGGCCTCTGTCAGTAGTTAGGTGAAGAGGTGTTTTCTGACATCCAGGTCACAGGCACATACTATGTATGCAGAAGTAGCATTCAAAGGTTGTTGCACAGACATATAGTCAAATACTCAGAAATTAGTATAAGAGAAAAGATAGCTTTAATCACTGGTCTTCACTAAAATCTTGGTGAGTATCCATTGAACATGCTGAGAAGTTAATTTTCAATGTTATGTTCCCCAAACTAAAGGAAGCCCTTCTCTTTAAAAGGACTGATATGATGATGACCTTCAAACTGTTACCACTGACATCGGGGGAAATTCATACTGCCTGCCACTCACCCATCACATGGAAGAGCTGAGGACGGTTCTGGCAACATACTTTGGGAAGAGTCAAGTGATAGCAATTTAATGATTCAAAGGTACATTTGCCCAAGTGTTTTGCATTTGTGGAACCCATTTTACAGAAGGTATTTGCAACTCTCTGGATCACCATTGTTCCCATTTGTAAATACCATGATGTCTTAGGTAAATGTGGTCAGGAAATGGATCCTCTTTATTTTTAGTGTCTTCATTTTGGGTGAAAAAAACAACAATCCGAACCAAATCCAGCCAAACAAACCCTAGGTTTTTATATGAAGGAGAATCCCTTCTTTAACAAAAAAACTCTCAAAAGCGTTAATGGATTTTTCATTTGTGAGCAATTTTTTTTTAAGTTATATTTGCTTAAGCAGCTGCTTCCCCCTCCCCCCCATTTTAATGAAAAAGATATTGTAAAATATTTTGAATAAATATTTTCTTTAGGATGTAGAACACACAATGAGTTACTAAGTAGTATTATTGTCTACAAGGATATTTGGGAGACAGGAGTTCCTCTTTAAGATCCTAGTTTTCATACAGAAAACAGCTCAGAGGTTTCCATGGGCTGAGGGGTCCATCCCCATGAACTGTGCTGCATGTTCAGGGTTTTACCCTGTACAAACTGGTAGACAGATTACAAATAGAAAAAAAAAAATCTATATTTTAAAGAGAAGATTTTAGTAATTGAAGTTAATTCCACTAGCCTAATAACAGTCTGTTGTGACATTTTGATTTTTTTTTTTTCATTTTTCTTCTGTCCAAATGAGTAAGTTCCCAGTGAATGTTCATAATGTAGAATATACCATGAGAGACTGTTGTCTTACACCTCTGGAGATGGACAGCTGTTGATGAGAAGGCAGCATATAATCTCACTAGTATGGTGGAAAAAACAAAAATGAGTGGTAAATGTTCCCCAGGTCAGGTGCACCCTTGGGAAGACATACCCTGCACATCAGAGAGTTAGGCCACTACCCTTTCCTCAAGAGAAAAATAAATACTGGTGGCTCAAAATGCCAATTTCTACTACATTTTTATTTAATGCTTTCCCCTCCGAGCTTGCTTTATTTAGCTAGAAAGCATGCTTCCCCTCAAATAGTTATTATTAATGTGTTCTGTAGGTTTTCTTAAATAAAAAATAATATTTGTACTTAAAGTTTACACCCACAGAAAATATTTTACAGGTATTAGTTTAAGAAAAATACAAGTCCTTAGCTGCAGCTAAGATAACATGGGTTGTATACAGTGTGATAGAGCGAACAAGGGCCATTCACTTTTTAAATCAAATATTGCCCTTGAAATGTTGGGAAAACGGCACAGGAATTTTGGAAAAGGGCTTTCTGCCTTGTATTAGGAAAACTGCTGAAGCTGTCAATGTTAATTTTGTCATGACACTAAGAAACTCACCCCCAGAAAGTGGAGCTGTATAAACATTAAGGGAAATTTATACGTTCCTAATTGCAACAGCACAGCTCTTTTGCAGACCCAACACCAAGCTTGCTTCCCCCAGGGACCAGGCTAAGTACGAGGATGCTCGTGCTAAAAACTCAGCCTCCGCAGAGCCGCTCTGGCTCAGTGGAGACCCCGCGGGAGCCCCGAAGCAGCGGAGCAGAGAGGTTTCCAGGTCTGCCAGGGGGAGTCGGGATACTAGTGACTCTTTGGAAAATGGGAGGGAATAATTTGAGGTACTGTGAACTCTAATAAACTGGACTCCCAAAAGAAAAGTGATTTGAAGCAAAGACTAACTACCACATTTTCCTCAAGTGGAGAAAAGTGAAGCAAAGGCAATGAGAGAGAGACAAAGCAGCCAGATGAGGGACTAGTAATGGCTTACGGCATGTTTGCCACAGCTGATGTATGTTTGTTTTCCACTTCTCACCTCCCTGTGCAATCTCAGGCCGTGCTCTGTACTCTGTCCTTCTTTATATTTGATGTCGCAGCAAGAAGACAAGGTGCCATTAGCTTTTACTTGAAAGGTCATATTGAAGTTATTTTCCTCTAATCTCTGGGATTTCAACCATAGCAAAATAAAATAAAATTTAAAAATCTGGCCTAAGCAACCCCCCTAACCTGACCGTATCACAGAGAAATGAAGTTAAACATTGAATTGTATATTGGACAATTACTGCAAAATTGCTCAACTCGCTTTTTGGTCACTGGTGTCAGTTGTTCTCTGTATAGAAGAGAATGAATTCCTCCATATTTAGGAAATGATCCTCCAAATTTTAGCCTGCCATTAACAAAAAAAAAATAATCTCAGGATATATTTTAACCACTTTAAATCAGCGCACTGAAGACATATTTATTGTGAAGCACGTGGGTAATCCTGACCCAGCTCGTAAATGCGTTGGGGTATCAGATGTGCTGCTGAGCTCCCAGGGCTGGATGGACATTTGGATGTCTCGACTAGCCCTAGATATGAGCTTTACCTGTCCTAAATACAGAATAATGTCCTAAGCATCATAGAAAAAGGCTTTCCCCCACATTTGGGATGGGTTAAGAGAGCCTACCTTGTCATTTCAGTTTAACTGAAATACTGTTACTTCTTAAGCTGCAGGAACTCAACTGTACGGCTGAGCTTTAAGCACCTTTTTGTAACTTCAAGCATAAGCTTATGTGGTTTGCTGAGGCAGGGCTTGCATTTTGAAATTAATGCTAACATTTATGCATGTGCTTAGTTTCAAGCCCTGTCAGTACTCACATTGGACTGGGATTTATCCTTTGAGAGGCTGAACTGTAAAGAAGAAGCAAACCTAGTGGGATAGTCTCCTGTGTAAATGTAATTCATAAATATTTGCAGAATCAGGTCTGCAGGCTCGAATATGTCCTGTAGCTATTTTATGGCTTTGACAATGTTACCTGTTCATTTTGTCACTTTTAATTTTTTTTTGTTACGAGTACAGTGTTTGAAATTAATTTTCAAATTTTATTCTCCGTTGATCAGGGGAAAAAAAAAGAAATATCTATACAGTGTTAACATGAATATTGACCACAAGGTGAGCAGGACCCTCTTTTTTGTCAGAAGCTTGCTTGTCAGCATGCCAGTGATAGATCAGATGTAAAGAAAATCACTTCTGCAAAACCAATTTGCTAAGGGGCTTGTAAAATCCATTTTTAAAAAGTTACTGAGGCGAAAAAGTGAAGGACCAGCCAACCAGATATTTTGATCGGCTCTTCAAGGTCAAAAAACTGATTACTAATTCATCAAATATCTTACTAGTAGCACTGTTTGAAGAGCAAACAACTCTGTGCAGATGTTCTACCTAATAATTCTAATACCATGGAAAGATGGGTAGGGTAGGAACAAACAGAATTTTTTACTTACTTTTGGCAATGCTACAGTCGTAGGAGCTGTGGTCTTCAAAGCACTGGCAGCCCAGTTCAGTACATTGTCCATTGCCATTACAGAAAGCAGGACACCGGAGAGCGGTGAGGATTTCCTCCTGGGTAGCAGATGGCTGGTTTCCTACATGAAACACTCTGTTTCTGTTTCCTAACACTCTTCTTTCACATTCATTTTCCAAAAGGGCTACCAGTGCCCTCACCCAAGCCACGTCATCTTTGAGCTGCAGATCTAAAAGGCAGATATCAATTGCCTCATCCATCTGTTTTCCAAGGAGACCTTTACACACTAAGCCAATGGTGGAATTTGCAAGAATTTGGTGGCAAATCTCCCGAGCTTTGGCAGCAGTTAAGCCATTGGGAGTGGGCCATGCCAGTGGAAGTTTCGTCCTAATCCCTTCAAAGTAATCCTCTGGGAAAAAATATGCAAAGCTCTCTGAGTCTCTCTGGTTTGGGCCATGCAATGGGTGAAGGGATGAGTATTCATAATAGTCGTCTTGCCTTTTTGCTCTCCTCAGGTCTTCTGTTGGTTTGGTAGAGTTAATGGAACTATTGCTTTTCATGGAAACATTGTGTGCGAGGGGTTTTAATCGGTCCTCAGGGCTACCTCGCTTTTGGACTGATTTAGGCAGATATCTCTGATCAAAAGACTTGGTCGACAGTTTCTCATCTTTTCTTAAAGTAGACTCTACTTCTGAGTGAGTGACAAACTCTGACGTAACATCTAGATACGGGATTGCAGAGGTGTAATCCACATGATCATAACGGCAACCAGAGGATGGAGGGAAAGCAGTCTGAAAGGCATTCAGCGTGTTTACCACGGGCACGGACTTAGTGCTCTCCTTCTGACATCTGCAGTAATTTTTCCTTTCCTTCCCCTCAGAAGGTGCTGGAGTCTTGTCAAATAAACTCTTCCCTGGAGGTATTCTGATTTTAAAATAGAAAGAGATTAGAGGGAGGAAACTTTCAACAGATTAGTCTACAATACCAAGTACGCTTTCCTTCCCTGAGGCTGGGGAACGTATAAATTCCCAATCTACCAAAGTACTTAAGAAAATGCTTAAGTTTAATCTCTGTTTTCTTTAGTTGCTTTTGCACTGCCCTTCTTGAGTTGTCCTGTACATTCTTTAGCACTACATGGGGACTTTTTAGTAACAGATGCTTAAGTGCTTTGCTGGAGCGTTGCCTAACTGCTTGATTTCTCTTTGCAGAGCTTTCTCTAAGGTGCAGGTTACCCTTTGCATATTACACATGAAATAAGGCCTTGGATTTGTCCCTGGCGTGACTCAGATACAGCTTGGGGAATGACAAAAAAGGTGTGTTTGTTTCAAATGCTTTATTATGAAAACCATCTTTATCTATTTGCCTGTGCTCTCCTTACTAGGTGTTTCCTCTAAGACTTGGATCACTATGTTTTTTCTTTCAAATGTTTTTTCCTTTAAATTTTTTTTTAATCTATACTTCATTTCATTCTTGTCTTCTAATGGAGCTTTCTTTGAGTTTTTCTTCTAACACAGAGCAGTTTTCTGCAGTTTTGATTATAGGGCTAGGCTATCAAATAAGGTGAGGTGATTTTTTTTTCCCCCCTTTTTAATTTAGTCCAGCTTTAATGATGGATGAACTTCTAGAGAGTTCAGTTTGAATAAACAGCCATGATTAAAGTTTCTTAGGAAATATCATGAGTACAAGATTTCTTATTGATCTTATTTATGCAGCATAAGAGGGATCCTGGAGCTTCATAGAAAAAGATATGCTTCTTGTCCCAATAGTTGGCAGCATGTCATTTCCAGACAAATTGGAATTATCACAAAAAATTTAAATTATTTTGGCATTAATTTTGTCTTGCAGCGAGAATGTAGAGATTACAGGAAAGTGAAAGCATTTGCCAAAATTTTGGAGCCAGACTCTAGATACTGTTGTAGAACATGTAATTGCCTTTATCCAATTTTTCCAAAATATATTGAAAATGGCATATATGATATTACTATTTTGATCATTGATACAATACTAACTTTTAAATAAAACATCATGGTGACACAGGCAACATGAACCAATTTCTTCTTCTGAAACATGAGCCCAGACATTTATGAAACCATTTTTCCCAATGTGCGGGCACAACAGAATACAGTGTGATACAACAAGAGAACTTTCATGCTCTCAGAAACGCAGAGGCTATTCTGCACTTTCCTACAGTCTAGAACAATAAAACATATTGGTGATTGAGGGAATACGAGTCTTTTGGACAACGCAGTTTTGTGTCTGAGTGGGAGTCCCGCACGCACCGTTCCTCCGGCTCTGCACGGTGGTGTTACCTGCGGCTGAAGCTACCCAGACTTACATCATGAATTAACTGTAAACCTAAACTAAGGCAGCAGAAGTAGCTATTTTTTTGAGGGAATGCTACATAAATTAGAGGCTAGGGTAAATATCACATATTTAATAACTAACTAACTAACTAAAAATCACATAAACTTGTCCAGAATCAGGACAGAAACTTAAACCACAAATGAATATTTCAGTAAAATGAAACCCTTTCGCCTTGATATTTTATTGAAACAAATTCCTTTGTTATTCCTGTGTGAAACCAGATACCTTCCTTTGGTCAGCCCTGGTCAACAAGAGGCGGGTATATGGTGTGGAAAGGATGGAGCCACTGGAAACCCCATCCTTCCTCAGAGGCATGCACATACTGACAGCACCTCAGTGAGCTACGATGTGTCTTCTGTCCCCTGCATAAGATGACCAGACTATCATTGCTCTTAGCTGCCCATTATAATCAAGGAAGAACTAAAGACAAGTTTTTCAAACTGAGTTGGATGCTGTTATAGAGAAAGAGTCCAAAATTAATAACATTGCTGCTGGTTTCTCAAAAGATTTGAAAAATGGTTTGAAAAATTTGTTTTACCTACTTAAAATACATGCTTTAAAATTCAGCTTTTCTCTGTCTGGATGCTATTTAAGGGCTGGGAGGCTCTGATGTTGTTTTATTGTTTAAAAGTTGCATTGGAAAGCCGATGTTTAAAACAGATCTGTGCCATTCAGAGCCCTGCAGCTGCTTGAGAGAGGTGGGAGCCAGGGAAAGAGCTGAACTGCCAGGTGGTGAGCACTCAGACTAGCTTCAGGTGTTGGAGAAAACCTAACATGTTCTCAGTGTTATTTAAAATGAAATTAAAAACAGCAGCAGAAAAATCACCCTGTAGGTTTTGGGTTTTACTGTGCCATTTCTCTGCGGGTGGATCAGAGACTGATCCAGTCTCCTCTGGAGGTGGCCTCAGCCTTTCCATGGGTTTGGTTTTTTAAACAGGTTCTGAAGGGTCCTTGAGATTCACCCTTGGGAGTACCACAAGGTGAAACTCATCACCCCTTCTGCCCTCCTCACTTAGCAGGAGCTTCTTCTGCCCTCCCTGATGTATCTCCATCATATGTGCTGAGCCCTAGAAAACTTCTATAATTTCTATATATTGTGCTTTGGCTTCTGATCTTTCAACAAACTTGCTTTGAACAGGTTCTCCTAAGGATCTTGTTAGCCCGTTTTTGGGTAGTCAGCAGTTGGTTGGTTCTTGCACCAAACTATTTCTCCATTTGCCTTCCCAGAAGGAAGCTCTGACTGATCATCACGTTATTAAGATTTGAAAGATGGCTGTTGACTTCTAAATAGTAAAATTTGTAATGACAGGTCAAAATTGCCATTAAATAGCCATTACTTAGGCCCACTGAACATAACTAGAATATGGTAGAGGTGTTTGTTTATTTTCTGAAATGCAATAGGTTTAAAAATTTATTGTTGATTGTTCTGATTTCCCATGTACAAATCAAGTGGTACACTAACATGGTTTGCCTTATTTTTCCTTATTTGCAAAACATGCTTTACAAACAAAACTACACAGTCAACCAAACCCATTTTGGTTGTAGGAACACCTGTTAGGCACATTTAGAGCTCAGCAATAGGAATTAAAATGTGGGATAGGGATAGGGATAGGGATATGTCAGAGCACCAGACCCCCGGCTTTAGTTTCAAACCATCTGTCTCAGAAAGTGCAAGTTTTTAGAGCTCAATGTCATCATTATTAGAGTAGACATTAAGTTTTAGCATGGTACATATATTACCACACTTTGTCGAAATGTAACATTTAATCTATACTCACATATTGGAATTAGTGTTTGGGAATAAAAGAACAAGGGAAATACCAAACCCTTAATTAATCCGTATTGTCAGTTATCTACATTTTCCAGTGTGGGTGAGAACCACAATTTTTTCCACAGCTGAGTGGGATCTTCACACAGCTGTTAATGTGACATCACTTGCGAATATAAAACTTCTCTCTCAGTAACTGCTTATGTGTATTGTGCTGACTGAAAATTAAGGCCCCGTGCTGTTCGGCCGGTAATGGGTCTCCAGGCTTCCCTCACTAGATTAAGCGGATCTCTCTGTCAGGTTGTTAGGGGAGTCTGTAAGGAAATAAACCTATCAACACCCCTTGAAACAGTGCTACAGAGCATCTCGCAGGCCGGGATCCTCTCTCGCTTTGTACCTCCACTCCTCTATGAAGTCTTCCTCAGGCACATTGCTCAGGTCGTTGTGACCGATCCCGTCAAAGAGGCCACACAAACCTCTGGTGCTGTTGAAGTCGCTACCCGGCGTCCTCACCGTCAGACTCATTCCCCACTCGCTCACGTCGGCTCGAACAAACGCTCCTGAAGGGAACAGGATCTGAAGAGGCGGAAAAAACCCCCAGTGAATCGGAGCTGTTACCAAGCTTTTTATGCAGTAAAAAAATGTCCCTTTTTATAAATCAAAATATCAAAGTAAGATGTTGGCAATGGCAGAGGTAATTTAAGATCACTTAGATACACTATAAATATTTATTTGTGTTATTATTTAGCGTGCTTTCAGATTCCATGGTACTAATATCTGATAGCATTACATAAATATAAAACTGCACAAGTACTTTCTTTTTAAATTAATAATTACATCCATTGAAGTTTTCCCACTGGTAAGTTACCAGCTAATTTTTGAAGTGAATTCCATAACAATAAGGCCACCCTTGTGTCTTTGCCTGGGAAATAATTTCTTTTAGATAAACTGCCAAGTTTGAAAAACAGCTTTCTTCTCTCTGAAAAGTCGTTTCATTTTCCAAGGCCGGATTACCCAGAAAATGATTGTGTTTTAAAGTGGATAAAGCAATTTTCTCATTAAAGAACTTGTGGTAGGCTTATACTGACCTTTAAAAGAAAAAAAAAATCTTGAAGTTAAGACAAAGAAGTAACTGTGTGGATAATGGATTTTTCAGATTGGTGTCCCAACCAAATAATATTAAAAAAAAAGAAAAGAAAAAAAACCTGTTCAACTGAAATGCATTTTTGTTCATTTGCTTTATTTTTACAGATAAAAAGAAAATTATTTTGAAAATGATCTGTGCCAGGAGTGGGAGCAGGAGCACTCTATCCTGATAAGTAACCTTAATATTTTTTTTGATCCCAAATTGAATGTTTTCAGTTAATCTTTAAAGTACATTAAATAGTTGGAAACATCTCATTACAATAATTTCAAAATAATTCTTTTCCTTTTTTTAAGTGACCCCTGCCTAAGTATAATTTATTCAGCCAAACAATGTCCACTACTTTTCTTTCTTTCGGTGGGGATTTTTTCATCCCTTCTAAGTTCCTCCCCACTAAATCTATTTATATCTGTGAAAAAGCAACTAGCTTATATTTGTATTGCTGTGCTGGAATCCTGAGTTTACATTTTGGCTGTACTAAATAGCAATCTTGCCCATTTTAGCTTCCCAGTCATCATTTCAGGTGTGAGAATACTTTTTGAGGAGCTCTCCGTGAGTGATCTCCTCGCCCGGCTGAGCGGAGCAGCAAAGTGCCACTGATTGTAATAACGGCAGGGGACACTATGTTTTGAACTCAGGCTCTCTGTGTTTTGATCAGGGCATTTAAAACATCCTTTTTTCAAAAATTATTGGCCTTGGTGAATAATGGAAGTCATCATATAAACCCAGTTCTTTGAATACATCAGAAGGTCTTGGGTGTACCTCCACCTTGGCTGTAAGTTTTGCTTCCCAAGGTAAGTTTAAAAAAATAAAAAGATTCCCCAACATAAAGCTCAAGTGGCCTGATGAGTTAATTTTTTCTTAGTGGTTTAATAGGTAGAGCAGGAAAACTGCAGTTGACACAGTGCTGGGTAGGATTTGATTTCCTTCTTCAGATAAACATGTGCCTTCTAATTATATGCCTTACTACAGGGAGGAGCATTTCCTACAAGGCTGCATATAAAATCCTTGCAGTCAGGACTGCATGAGCTGCTTCAGTCTTCTATGCTGTCTGGATTAATATTTCCAGGTGTGGATTCATTTCAGGAATTCAGAGGGCTGTAACCCTTTCTCCTCCTGCTGCCCCGGCAAGGCATCCCACCTGCCACTGAGGACTTAACAACTGCCCAGGTTTTCTGTAACCCACCTGGATTTAACACCGCTGGTTTAGGCTTTGAAGAAGCTTTTTTGAGACCTCAGTCTGCAGAGATATATAGCGACTGCCTGCTGGAAGCTTGCACAGAAAAGAGAGTGACTTAACCCCATTCAAAGCATCAGCCTTGAATGGCGCGGGAGCCATGGGGGAGCCGGCTCTTGCGCTGTGCGAGGTTGGTGATGGGCAACTGCCGAGCAAATTGGGATGTACCGTGCACAGCGGCGTGATCAGGGATCGTGTTCATTGCTGCACAGTTCCTACAGATTCCCATTCAGATCAGGGCAGGATTCATATTCGTGTCCCAGAGGTGTCCTGGTTTGTTTCACTGAGACTTACATGAGATGTAAATGAGAATAGGGATTCCTTGCTAAGATTATACTAGTAATAAAAAAGTAATTATATTGCATTCAGTTGCAAAATGAAATGACAGCTGCTTTCTGCTTTTTTCTCAATGCTATAATTAACAGACTTCCAAATACTACCTTACTAAGATCTATTCCAAGCCAGATCACAAGAGCCAAGCACAGGCACTCCCTGCATCTTTCTGGCTCTGTTGTGGACCTGCCTTCACCCAGAACGTTTCCTGGCAATAAATCTTGATGCTACAACTCTAGGATAAAATTATCTTCTTGGCCGTAATTTGTGGCTCTTCTCCTCACCAAAGCCCCTCTTGCAGCCTGCTCTTATTCTTCCAGTGATTTCACTGGATTAGTGTGGATAAGTGATATTCATGCAAAGTATGTTGTGGCCATATATTTTTTAGGCAAATGCTTTAAATTATACCAAATGTTGCACATTTGCAGCCCATTTTCATGGCTTTTGGGGGCTATCTGGATCTGACTAATATTGCCTTACTGTTCCACTCTAAAAGTACATTATTCTGCTACCTGTGATCTTTCCTTGAATATTTATACCATAAGCTCTGCAAAGAAATTTACTTTATGTGATGTGGTTGGGTAGTGCCTAGCATAAACAAACAGAGAGCGGATTGCCATACTGCAGAGAGTAAGTAACAACATTGGCACTCTGCTATGTCTCCGAGAAATTTCCAGAGATGTTTGTTTTGTTTTGTTTTACAGTTTGTTAAACTAATGCTTTAACCAGCTTCTTCCCTGCATCTCGTTTTTTGGTACATTTTGCTGCAGGCGCTCTTATGGCTTCAGATAGAAGTTTTTGTAGCAACTTCATTAATAATTCAGAAATATTAAACTCACACTTTTAAAGAAGAACAACGAGAGTACTCAAATATCCACGTACTGTTATTTTTCTCCCTCCGTAGGACTTTAGGATTTTGACACGTGGCGATGCCTCGGTGCTTTTGATGGCTAGCTGGGGTCTGCTCTCCCGAAAATGGCCATTGCAGGTGTCCAACACCACGGTGTCACCCCCTTCTCGCGCGGCTACGCCGCAGTTGCAGGCAGTGGCAGAGCGGTGGCCTCCGCAATCCCACTGCCGAACGTGCACTTCAAATGCCCGTGACACACTCCGGCACAAAAGGAAGGTGCCGATTTTATAGTTATCATAGCGCCTAAGCAGCAACAAACAAACAAAAAAGAGGATTTAGAGACCCCAGAGCATCCACCCGTGACGGCCATTTGTTGGTACTCGTACAACAGCGCTCTTTAATTAGACCAGCGTGGCGGCTGGCCTTGGACAAGGGAAAATCAACACGTGGGGAAGCGTTTCTCCTGCACCGTAAGCAAGGGAACGCCGTCGCAGTTATTAGCTGGAAGTGCCTATGAATTCATGTAAAAAGTGGGTAGCTGTCTCCCAGCTGCTGCCATGGCAATGGGCATGGATAAAAAGGATAAACATTTGATAAAAAGCAAATAGGAAAAAGTCCCTGCCTCCAGGCCTTAATAAATATGTTTTGGTTCTAACCGGATGCTTTACAGCATGGTATTCTTCAAAGCAAAATCAGTGCTCAAATAACCGCTTCTGTGACTAATCACTAACTTTTACAAGACTGACTGCGGCTAGGTGAATACTTTGTGTGAAAAACTGGGATTCTACTGAAAAACCTGTTAAAATGGACTTGGTTCCCCCCCCGCCTCCAACTTCCCTGTAAGCACAACTTTTGCTCTAAATGGATTGACAATCAGCACAGTGCAGTGTGTTGAACAATTCGGGACTTTCATTCTTCCCTGTACAGAAAGTCCTTGCTCCACCCGAGTGAGGCCATGAGCAGAATAATTTTAATAACTTTGCAAGGGTTTCCCCTGTACCCGAGCCAGGTAAAAACCCTCCTGCCTGCAGCCCCTTGGGTTTCCACAACAGGGACCTGAGAGAAGATCCTCTTCTGCTTGTTCTTTCTTTTCTCACTCCATAAGCCTACCTTATTCTTACTCTGCTTTATTCTAACGTGGTGAATAAAAGTAAAGAAAGCAGTAGCTGTATACTTTATATATGTTGCTGGAGTTTTCTCCTCATAAGCCAACAGCTGCCATCTTTAAAAAAGATGGGTTATTCTACTTCCTTTTAAGGCACTGCATACTGCATTTAGTTATAAACACGATTTTTATGAAATTAAGTAACATGGAAACGAAGCTATAAGCTTATAATAATAAGCATTATTCTTTTTTACAATAAAAGAAGAAAATACAAAAAGGAATGTATAAAATGCCTCAACTAAATAGCAGGATTATTTTTAAGCACTGTCATACAAACATCAATATTTTTCCAGTCTTTTAATGTTTCCTATATAGAGGAACAAATGGCTCAAGAACTGAGATTTTTTAGCATGTATGTATCTGCATTTTATATCTCTTCAGAATAAAAGCCATAGAAAACTACTTAGCTTAAAACACAGGAAGAATTTAGACTCCAACTGCTTTTTTTGTCTGCTAGAAAACACATCTGACTTTATCTTTCATCTTGAAAAACTTAGTGAAGTTGGCCATGAAACGATAAGATTTTGAATGGTTCTGTCTCATCTTATTTTCTAATCAGGTACATAAATCCTAAGTACACTGTGCAGATGCTGTTGCTAAGATTGATTAGAACTAAGGACAACATAAAAAATAGATAATCTCTTTTAACATCAAGTACTAGCTCCATTTAGACATCTTCACAGCTGAGACAGAGGAGACAGGATATTTTATGAGAATCACCTTCCACAGTTTCCTTCAACAGGGGGAGCTTAGAAGGAAAGGTGTTTAGAGAGGTTGATGGAAAATAATGCATCAGAATGGCTGTACCCACACTAATCAGCTGGATCTGGTAAACAAGGCTGTATTAGCATATACATATAAATATCACTGCAGTTACAGTGCGGGAGCTATTTACTGCTTAATAAGCATTGACAGTGGACCCAATCCAACTGTTCTGGATGTCACTTAGAGTCCTTCAATTAAGTCAGGGCATAGCTTGCATAGCACATAACAAATCTGCAATGTGTCTAAATTGAAGCTTTCAGCTGCCTTTGAATTACTTGAATGGATAATTGCACGTAGTCAGGTAAACTTTTATGATGTTTATACAACTGTAATTGTGATAATGATTCTTTGGACAACATTTGAGAAATTGCTTGTGGCACTAAAAGCATGAAGTAGAGTTGCTGGAGCTCTTGCATGAGGGAGCTCTGGGTGTTCCTTGTGAACCAGGCAACACTGCTTGTGTCTAAATTGCCCTCCACAGTGCACTTCCCCCTCCTGCTTCCCTAATAGTCTGAAGCAATGGATGTACTGGGTGGAAAGCGGTTCCCTCCCTCTGCATCTATGTGTTTGGGATGTTTTTCAAGGGGTCCAGCAAGTTCTTGTCCCAGCATGAAGTCATGGCTCAAGTTGTGCTCTTAAACCAAGAATTATGAAATGTCTTTGTCTTATGTCTTTGGTTATGACAGTGAGATGCTATAGGAATAATTTCTGTTGGTTTATTGTAAGAGAGGGACAGAAGGGAATATAAATACATGTAAACAATTACTACTAGTAGCATTAGATTAACTAACACAATGCACTTACTATTCACCAAGCTACACTTCATGTTTTTATTAATTCAGTTATTACTGTGGCTGCTCCTAAAGATTTTCCCCCACAGTTCTGCCACCAAATTATTTGATTTGTTGAAACGTCCCTCCAGGCTCCCTCTTTCCTTCCTAGTAAGAACTATTTTATGCTGGTTGTGACCCTAGGAAGTGCTGGGTGATGCTGGAGGATGTCCTCTGGTTTCAGACTGGTCATGTTGTTCTTGGGGAGCGAAGCTGTTGGGTTATGTTCAGCAGTCACTGGATGCTTGGGTCGTATAAACTTCTACAGACTATCAAAAAGAACAGCATTTCTGGCAGGGCTACTCATGCCCAGGACTTGGTTGTGGGCTACTATGATGAACGCCATTAAAGCCAACCAGAAGCGTGAAGCTGTGCAAGCTGAGGGATTTTGCTATTGTGCAGGAAATGGCCCCATTGCCCCTGTGATAATATTGATGGATGGATTAGCATAAATGTTTGAGAAATCTGAAAAATCTTCTTCCTTTTTTTTAAGGTAAAATGCAAAATAACATGAATGATAAATATAGTTCACCAATGAAGAAATATTTCCCTTTTTATATTTTGCCTTAAAGGGATTTTCTGCATATTTAGTTTTAAGCTAGTACTTCATATTTAAGAATCTACAATTTATGGCATGAAAAGCTTTTATATTTATAATGTGCCATAACTAGTAATGAGGCCTATACTTTTGCTTTACCAGGCTTTCACATTTGTTTAATTTAGAAGGTACTTTGCTATAAAAGGAAGTGCTCTCTCTGGATTTTAGATAGTATAATTAACGCCATTTCACATCTATGCTCCAATATACACAAATTGTTTGTGCTTACACTGTAAAATATGACACATTCTCCTTTGGTTTTCAGTCACTTCCTTTGGTCAAAAGAATGAAAAGATTACAAGATAAATATTTCTACAGAAATATATTAGCAGGAGGCAGACCAAAGGGGGTTGTTATCATTAGAAGTGGGAGTTAGGTATTTCAGTTACCTAATGAATAGCTAACTACCTCAGATGTAATGTGAGCTCAGTATCTCAGGTTAAAAACCATTGAAAACATCACTATAGAAGTTACAAAATGAAGTATTATTGTGAAACCTCACGAAACAACCTATACATTGGAAGTGACCACTTCAGTAGGGAAATTTTACTACCAAAAAAAAATCTTCCAGTCTTTTGATTTTCATGCCATTTTTCAACAAATCTGCTAAAGAAATTATTCAAATAAATATTTTTAAATTAAATTTTAAATTTTTAATGCTTTTCATTTAAATTTTAGAAACCACAAAAGGTTGCAGTTTTCTATTTTCATGTTTGTTTTCATCCTTGCTTTTCCCCATTGTGTATTTTTCCTCCCTCTTCACCGCTGCTAATGGGAAAGTCAAAGAAGGTAAGCAACTCTGTGGAAGGCAGGAGTATGTTTATGTTTATGTGCATGCCTGTTTGCGTAGAAAACACTCCTGCCGTTTTGCTGTTGGCGATGTTCCCCATCTTCAGCCTTTCCCTTGCTTTTCATGTGACAGTCCTTCAGTGAGCCATCCCGACTTGAGCGGGTGGAAAGAGAGACAACTGATCTGATCGCCACCCATCCACAGCAGCTCTGCCTACAGCAGTTTGATCTTAGAGTCTGCTGCCTCCTCATTAAGCTGACCTACAGGCTTTTTGGTGGAACAAATGGTTTTCCTCGGGTTATATGGTTTGAGGGATACTCTGCTTTTGATCTCAGAAACAGTTTTGATGATAGTTTATTAAGCTTTGGTTGCTGCCATCTTTGTAGCCATAAAGAAGTGGGTAAAGGCTGTTATTTCCTTCAGTTCTCTCTGACTAATTTTGGATGTTTCTTTTCTTTCCCGTGTAATGTTCTCATCTGAGCCTGTGCCTACAGATCCCTTATAGTAGATGTAGCTCCAAGAGCTGATGCTCCACTCATCCTCTCAGCCTATTGCTTCATAGCCCCTAGGAGAAACTGCTCTTAGCTTTTTCTCTTCTTTTGCTTTGCTGTTTACAATCTGCAGATCGGTCTCTTTCTGACACTTTTTTATTACTGAGGGACAATCATATGGTTTCTTACTTGAGCCCACAAGGCTTTTGTACAATTCTTCCATTCACAATACCAAACGCACACCTCATTTCAAACACGATTTCCCACCACGTACCCTTTCATGACCAACAGGGAATGCTTCAGTTCCATACCTCTGTGTCAGCCTTTATCTTTAGGTTATAGGTTTGTATCAGGACAGAAGCAGGAATTGCATTCCCCACCCCTTAAATACAGAGCTTTAAAACAATTTGCTAATGTGTTAACATTTTTTTGGATAGGCAGACTGAGAAGTTGCTTAACTGATGTGTAATAGGGTGGCATAATCATTACAATAATTGAAAGAGAAATTATTTACAATAATAAATGGGAATATAAGTAGGAGTAATGGGACTGTGAAATGATGGGTAAGAAACTTGGCTGAATATCAAGAAGTGATATATCTTAGTGAAATAACCTAGTTATTGAGATGGCAGAAGCCCCATCAGCTTGGCTCATTTAAAGCTACACTGGACAGAGCAGTAATGAATGTCCGTCCACAAGGAAGAAACGTGCAGTTACCAAGGGGCCAAGCTAATCCTGGGATTTTTCCATTTCAAGGCTGTGTGACTCTGAGGCAGAATGCCACAGAAGGATGGGCTTTTCCAAACTCCCTGTCCTCAAATAGAATTGTAAATTGCTTAGAATCATTTATGTGTGCTATCAATAACAGGGTTGCATAATAAGTTATTCAAATAAAATTGCTTTGTTTAATTTTAGACCTTTTTTCCCATGGAAGCAATGTAAAAATGTGCTACATGTCTGAGAGTGTTCCCTTGTTTCATGAGGCACTTTTCAGTGATTTATGACTTTCTAAACACAACAACCTGGCAGATCATTGTCCATTCTTAGCCCTAAATCAGAAGGGAATATTTTAGAATATAAATGTTTAGAGAGTGTTGAAATAATATTCTAATCTAATTTAATATCCCAGAGTTGAAATAATGGCAGATACATAAGGCATGGGAATGTCTTTGCACCTCTTGTAGCTCTTCTGCAGCTTCTACATATTGAGCAACCACGCTTGCATGAAACAAATGACCTCATTAAAAATGGTATTCAGCAAAGCAGGAGGGAAACGGGAAAGCCCTCGTTGTGCAGAGCTAATCTTCTAGCTGACACTACCCAGTTTAGGTGAAATCTTTATCTGAGGCAGACATATAACCTTTAATAGAGTCACCGCCTTTCTCACTCACATTTCATTGACAGAGTTCTCCAGCTTTGACGTCATTTCACATGCTACCTCCAAAGCATGCTGGACTGAAATTGGGACATTTGGATATCAAAATTAGAATATTATGCCTGCCGAGCCCCTGTGGACGCTGTGCGCCTGAAGTCATTATCTGTGCCATTAGGAGGTTAACGGCAGAATGATGAACCTGGAATGTGATCTGAAATATTAGCAACTTTGGATCAAACGTGCTAGATGCAAACTTTAAAATCTTCCTGTTATGTTAAATAGCTGGGGTAAATAGATTCATGAACGATTAGGGAAGTTAACTGAAGAAAAGTTTTGAACAGTACAGGCTGTCAAACACAAATATACCACCTTTGGCTCAGTAAGTCTTTAAGCAACCTATTCCTGGATAATATAGAAGGACATCTGGACAGTACAGGAGGATTTACAACTTCTTTTTTGCACTCTTTCCCTGATATTATCATTTCTGGACTTCTTTTCTCTAAGACAGTATGGCCATCTTTATGAGTTTTTGGTTGTGATTATGACTGTCAACTCCATGCAGAGAAGCAGCTGTGCAAAAACCAGCTCTGGAAGTAGAAGAATGCAAGAGCATCCTTGGGCTGAGTGACTTTACGTCAGGGGTTACTAAACTGCTGGGGAGGAGCAGGCTGTCCCTGTGTGCTGCGCTGCTACAGGGACGTAATGGCTCACTTGTGTGGAACTGGGGTGTCACTAACACGATGGCACACGGTGAAGAATCCCTTTCAAAGTCATTCATGACAGGTCTGTCTGAAGAACATTTTGGAATCTGACCCTCGTCTTGTAAAAATTATTCAGACTCAAAACCACTGCCGCTTCAAGCTTAATCCATTTCTAGTCCTTTTGTTAAAAGGAGTCTAAACATCTGGAAGGAAACCATGTATGTTATTGAAGCACTACTTTAATCACTATAAGCAAACTAGTAAAATGCTCTTTTGATATTCTAATGTAAAACCAAATGCATGCTACATCCAGAAACTGAAAACTGCAGTAATTGAGCAAAATTATTTCAAAGTAGAATACTCACCATCCATCAAATGTGATAATGTGTGGATCAGTGAAAGAGTAGCAGTTCCCTGTTGGGAGGTCTTGAACTGTGACCTAGTTAAAATGAAATGTGTAATGAATACAGTCTACACAGCAGTTTTTCTTCATTACTGTTCCTCACAAAACATTAGGGGCAGGATTCATGTGTCAAGTACAAACTAAAATCTGACTTCTAAAACATGATTGCGAATGGGTACAAAATAGGCTTTGCTTTCAAACAACGGAGTTTAATCACATGCAATAAGGGAGTTCAACGAGCTCCTATTCCACCTGATGTAATGCACTGTCTTTCTTTATCTGGTAAAAAGCAAAGCTTTTTTTTTTAAACTTTTTTGCTAAGAAGTAGATCATTCATTAAAATTATCAGGAAAGTGGAGTGCTTATTAAATTGTACTAATTTTAATGCCTGGAGTATGGTATAATGTATGCTGTAATTAAGTAGTGTTAGCATATTTTAGTAGTAGTCACTGCCTGTCCCCTAATTTGACCTTAGATTTCCTGATACAGCATCTGAATGGCTTATTTGTATATTTGATGTCCAGGTTATTGATCGGGTACCGGTGACGAGGCCCCAAATCAGGCTGCTGGAGCTGTCTATTTTGGGCACATGAATAAAAGAGGAAAGGATCTACTATAGCAAAAGAGATCTTCAGCTGCATCAGCTCTTGGTTACCTGGGCACAAGCTGGGTCCCAGGCGAGTCCTGAGAGTCCCGCCACCCTGCAAGGAGCAGATATACCTGCGAAAACCAGAGGTAGGGCAGCTCCCTTCGAAGCTGCAATACCCAAATCTCAGGCAGTGCTGGGCCTGCAGTGCCACGGCTGCTCAAGGTGGTGTTTTTTTCATGGCTGAATACTCTGCTATCTAGTTCTCAGAAATGCAAGACTGGGTTGTGTAGTGATTTTCAAAATGAAGAGCTCCCGGTCATGCTGGAGGGAGTGATGAAGTGTTATGGTTTTCCCATATCCAGCCTGCCAGGCTGATTTCTTGGCCAGGGCTGTTAATTCTTTGCTCGCTCTTTGCCCATGAGAAGTCCAGAGGTGCAATTCAGTTAGTTCTACCATAATCCACGGAGCAGGGAAGAAGAATGGCTGCTATAGCCTTGTACAGTCTTTCGGTGACAAAGCAGAACTTAGCTTTTCGGAACAGTGGTGAAATTAAATAAATGAATAAGGAGTGAAGATAGAACCACACTTCCTGACAAAATTCCTCACCTGCAGCAGGATGTCATCTGTATTTCAAAATGCCCCTTAACCATGGCACGGAGACTGCTTAGGCACCCGCTGGTGTCTGGCATACCAAACTATCAGAGTGATGGTCTTGAGGGCTGAAAAACTGAACACCTCTTTGAACAGCATTTTGATCTGAGCTCAATCGTATCATTTGTATCTACAGTGTGATACAAAGTAGTGTCTCAGAATTTTCCCATTTTCTCCATGGCCACAACCTTCCTAAGTAAAACCTTTGCACAGAAAAAGCCACGTGGCCCTTTCTCCTCTGCTCTTTTCTTGCATGATACCAGCAGAAGATGCAAGTCCTAGTTGCAGGCAGTCTCAGTTTGCTGAAGAAATCCGCCTTATCAGGTGTCTGAATGTGTCAGGATGTTCTGCCCACCATTTCTGTTCAATTTTCAGATAAATCAAAAATATTTGAACAAGTCTGAAGGACTAAAGATTATGTGGATTTTAATATATGGATTTTCCCTTGATATGTTGCAGGAACTGTGGTACATTAAGGCCTCTAATTAACTGCAAAGCAGCAGCAGGGAAATGGGGGGGAGGGAAGGTAATGTCTGTTATGTTTCCATAGATCAAGTTTTTACTGAGATAGATGGAATTTATTATTAAAAATTATTAATTCAATTTCACACTTGCTACATTTTCATATTTTAATGAAAGCATTTGTAACTTCAAGAAAAAATATGGGTATGTGAGTGTACTAGACTGAATTAGCTGCAATTTCTGATTTAAGAATCTTAAAAAGTTTAAAAGGAACCTATGCTGGAGAGGAAAGGATATAGTCCCATGCTAAGCATTTTACCTTTGAAAACAAAAATTCTTTTGGTGCAGTTTAATCTCATCCTCTCATGAGCAAATCCACAAAAATTAGGGCAGTGAAATTATAGATTTCATAGGGGGTTTGTTTTTGGTTACTTAAAATATACCAGCTTGGATGTGCCACTGCTCTGAGGAATTTAGCTGAGTCAAATCTGTGCTCTGATTCATTCTCTCGGGCAGTGGGATTACGGCTCTCAAACCTCCCAGCTGAGGCCCTGAAACAACTTCACAGACAACGGGCCGGTCCCTGCTCGCCACGCTCCTTTGGCCAGGCTCTCTGCGGGGAAAGTGTGGCTTGCCTCCCTGATTGCTTCTTATTATTTTTATTTTGGACATTCTGTACAGGGATAAACGAGGAGACAGAGCAGCCGCGTGTGCTGTCGGAGGCGTCCTGGTGATTCCTGGCACCGTCACGAGTTGAACATGGCTCTGCTGAGTCCAGGTTCTCCTTCCTCATTACCACGGCACTGCCTTTCCCCTGCTTTTTCAGAAACTGTTCTCCAAACCCTCAGTTTTCCCTCTCCCTCCTTCTCAAAAAGGTGCTAATTCCCTAACCAGGGTTCTCCCGCTCTCCTCTTCCAGCAGACGCAAGCACGCCTGGTTACATCTATAACCCAGCTGTTGGCCTTACCGATGTGCTGACTAATAATCAAATCTAAATCTGTTAAAGCACAAAGCTTTACATGTTAATTTTCTTGGTGTATAAAGAGATTGTTTTGATTTACTCTGCTGACAGCGGTCCCCAAGTGTTTATATGGTTAAGGTTTATCAGCATCTCCTTTTCTTCGATACTAAACCTCCCACTTAAATTGGACACCTTTTCCAAATGATTTTAGGACCCAACCTTCACATCCTTGGGTGTGTAAGCCCTCCAAAGCAAATCCCTCCATCCGACCGGTTCAGCTCTGACGTGGCTGACGCGGGTCCCATCCTGAGCAAAGTCCGTCACAGCTGTCACTCCCAGCGCCGTGGCTGCACAGCTGCTTTCCGAGCAGGGCGCCTGCAGCAGATCCACCTGGCATGCCGAAAGGGCGACGTTCGGGGGCCCCAGTAATTGGCTATCTAAAATGAACACGAACACCAAGTCTGACAAGAGTTATCCAAACAGTTGCCCGTACCCTGTTTAGCATCCAACACAAATGGTTCACATTCCAGGACACACATACCTTGAAACCAGATGGGGTTTGCATGAAGACAGTTGTGACTGACTCAATCTGGCATCCCTCTGCACATCTCACTGTGCCTCTTTATTTATTTTTTTTTTTCCTCCCACTGCAGTAGACAGTTTACTAAAACTCAGTGGTGCTTTTCTTTCCACAGGTGCTAATATTTCTGGAATGACAGTCTTATCTTTATGGGTCCATGCCCAGGGAATGAAGACGAGTAGTTCTCGTGACAAAGAAAGAGATGAGTCTGTGTTTCTGGAAAACGTTTATCTTTCCCTAGCTTTATTACAAGGAAGTATCTGCTGGGAGTTATTCAATTTAAAATAAACAGAATTTTTGATTTGGAAAGGGAGGGTTCTCCAGTCAGTTTTTAGTGAACTTTGGATCCACGACAAGAAGGCAAAAGCAGCAGATTTGCGTTTGTCTTTTTGGCTTAGCTAGGTTATGGTGCTTTACTTTCCAGTCTGTAAAATTATGATAGTTTTATTTCTGTCTTTCACAGAGGCATTGTGAGGATAAATTCACTAAAAGAATTTGGAAAAGTAATAAGCTATGGCGGTACTGGCTATGTAAGTATCTGTGATAGGTAGGGAAGTGATGGATAGTGACAAAATCAATATGGCAATGGCAACCCAAGTCATTTATGCAGCTCCGCCTCTGCACATCAGATCTTTCCTAAAGGGACCTCTTCTAGCAGCAAGACTGGTAGCGTCCACTTCTCTTGAGTCCTGACCCTTAATGTTGAGGTCTCAGGTAAAGGACAAACCTGGATTTTTAGTTCCATAGATGTGTTTTTGATTTACAAAACCTGAATTATGACAGCATTTGGTTCTGAGCCATCTGGTCTGCATTTTACATAGTGTGTATCTGCTCCTCAAGAAGTCACCCAACCCTTCACGAATCCTTTGGTGGGTAAAAAATGAAGTCATGGCCCTACTAAAGCCAGTCCGAATCTCGCTGCTGATTTCAGGACCGCCAGTGTTTGTGACTAGTATTTAGTCTTCTGTTTCGGAACATTAATTATCAGCTGATAAGAACAAAGTTCTAGAAATGGTGGCAATGCAATTAATATGATATGAAAATCACTTATTTTCATATCATTTTTCCCATTTGTGGAATTGCTTAATAATTTATAGGAGATGGCACTCAAGTGTTTTAAGATGGTATTTCTAATACGGTCAAACAATCAATGTTTTACTCCTTATGGAAAAGACTTATAAAATACGATTTAAATTAACCCTGTAGAGTTCTATAGGAACTGAACTAAAAACCCAGAAATATTAATAGCATATTATCTCTCCTATCAAAGCCTTAAAGGTTGCCTCACATCTTATAGAAAAGTCCTGGCTCATTTTCAAGGTTCTTGATTCAATTAAATTGAAGGTTTCCGTGAGGAATTGTTATTGCCATTACAGCCCCATGAGCTGTGCTCACAACCCAGAACAAAAGTTTAAAATCAAACAAAATCATCTTGTCAAAATAGTAATGATAAACTTAACAGAAGCCGAACTCCAGTGGCTCTGCTGTGCCTTGGCATTCATTATGATATTGTCTGAACTTAGAGAGATATTTCTGTGCTTGTAATTAGCTTTCTTATCACTTATTCCCTACATAATTAGCACAACAGTGTTGTTATATGGATTCAGTCAGACAAGGAGCTTGTCAGTTAATTTATTTGGCATAAACGAATCTCAGCTAAAATTGTTTTTATTTTCAATTTATAGCACTGTGGCTGACACTATGTTTTTCAGAAGCCCACAGTGTTCTTTCAGATAAACTAATGGACCCTAAAGACAATAAAGGCACAAAACAAATATGTGGTTATGCAAACACCCAGCAGCAGATACTCAACCTTAAGTGTATAGAGATATCCCAATTGATCATAAACAGCCCAAGTGTCATCCAAGGAAACAGCCTCAGGATGGAGCAATCAAGAGCTAGAGCTGGTTATTAGTTTAAGCTGCAGAAATGAGTTGATTAAAACTAACGGAAATTTTCCACCTCAGTGACAACTTCCTTTAAAGATTAGTTAATTGGTTGAGTTGTGCCTCCATCCTGGGACCTCTGGGCACCAACACATCAAGCCCATTGACAGCATGAAAAGAAAGCTGCTTCTGCAAGTCTCGCCTCCCCTCTTTCTTCCAGTCAAATACGCGTTGTGGGACCGCAGAAGACCCTGGCAAGGAGTCAGCCTCAGTCCAATCTGTCAAACTCGGCCTCCCCCACTTGAGAACTCCTGGACCATGCATTCATTGTCAGTGAGATTCTGAAAGGTTTGGTCGATGTCTAAGAAAATGTGAGTTAAAAAAATGACTTTGACAGTTTATGTGACTAATTTGCATTTGATCCTCATAAACGGTGGGTGTCTAAGTTGCTTGGAGTCCGTGGGGACGTCCCACCACACACCAGCCTGCGCTCTTAGCTACCTCAATATCTAAGAAAATCTGTTCCCAGGAGCTCAGTGGATGTTTGCCTGATGGACCAGCAAAGGCTCTAAGCCAAGAGCAATATGTAGAACAGAGCAGCACTGAGCCATGGAGAAATGCAAAGTACTCCATGTACGAGAGCCAACACAGCTGCTGGAACCATAAGGTGCTGTTCAGTTTAAGATCACTGTGTTATGATACCATTTGAATTATTTTTTTCTTCTGTCTATGTACTTGGCTGATGATGGGGAGAGAAAGGAGAGGGATTTAGAAAGGGAGAAATATCAGGAACTATCTGGGTTTTGCCAACATTTTTTTGAGCTGGCTTTTTGTGGATAGGGAAACTGTGGCTGTAATCCTATCTCTAAACTTCTTTTTCATTGAGTCACCTATGGGAAGAGAAATAACTGCCTTGCTAGAAAAAGGATTGGGTGTTTTATTTAAGGCAAATGGAAAGTAAATATATATATATATATGCCCCTCTTGGTTAGGCATGATATTCCACCAGATTAACCTGAGGAAAGCATTTACTGATTAAAAGGGCAAGAATTTTCTAAGGGACTTCGTCATTGTTTTCAAGTAAAAAAAAAAAAAACAAACACCAAACTTTAGAAAGACAATAATATATAAGCACAAGAATGTTTTTCTTCCCCTTTATTAAGTTAGACAAAACCTGTAAGCCAGCAAAAAAAAGAAGAAAAAAGGCTTCAGTACACATTTACTGAATAATAAATCTGCAGGTGAACTTCTTATTGATAATTAATGAAATTATTCTACCTAAGACCATTACTGCTAGAAAAACTTAAAATGGAATTTTATGCTCCTGGAATTTCAAATAAGTTCTTCTACTGATAGTTATTTTGCCCCTAAATCTCAATGGACTACCATTCAGGTTATTGCTAGTCAGATTTTTTTTCCCTCAAAAATATGTGTGATATTATCATCTATTTTATTTTGCAAACAAATATATGGCCTACTTTGTTGATTTTATGGTTTCTTCCCATTGTTGTTATTTACATCTTATCATTTCTATTAGAATTCATTGTAACATAAACACAGGAAAAAGTAATCACTTTGATTCAATGCCGATTTGTAAAACTCTTACCCAAATCCTCAGTACTTAGCTGCAAAGTAATTTTACAGGAATGATCATGCCCAGGACAGGCAATGGGTACAGTGCTCAGAATGGTCAAAACATGCTCTTTGCCATCCTCTGCAATTTGTAGTGATTCTGGTAAAAACTAGAAATAAGAAAATAATTTTTAGATCATTTTGACAGCTTAATTAGGCAATACTGATATTTATGAATCTTTGAGTGTTTTTAATCAATTAAGAAAAGATATAATTGCTTGTAAAATAATAATAATCTTCGTAATAGTCATCTTCATAATAATAATAATCTTCCTAATAATGGTCTTCAACTTTATAAGGGGAAATTGTTGTTAAAACACTTCAACATTCTTGGCAATTAAGAAAATGTTTGCAGTTGTCATATATATAGCGCCTAATTGCTTCTCATCTCCTAATCTCAAAACAAGTTTTTATTAAGCATGATACCATAGAATTTACTCATTTTTACTGTCCCTGGTTGAAAGGAGCTCCCGTTCCATTGCACTAGGAGACATACCATGGCCTGAAGTAGGTCATTACCTCATGGTCATGGACTCTATGTTGGTACCCTGCCCCAGGTGCAAAGCGAGTGCAATTTTTGCCTGATTCCTCTTCCCTGCTATGGTGGGAAGAAGGATTTCTCTGTACATAATGTATTACAGCTTCAGTGGTTCGTGCGCCGGGGAGACAGCTCGGGTTGTGCCATTTCTGTCTGTCTGTTCTCCCAGGGCAAGAGCAGAAACAGCACTCGGGGCTAGTCAGAAATGGGAATTTCCATTCCCTGGGAAATTCTGACATGTCCACAAAGCCCAAAACTGTTCCTCAAACAGCACACAGAATGGGCTGCCAGAGTTTTCAAACACCATTCGTGGAGGCATGAAGCTTAGATACTCTGAAGATCTCAAAATCTCCTGGACTGCCAGACTGACAGTCTAATCCTTGAGTGGGATTAGACCTGGTTTTTGCACTCAGCGTGAATTTATCTTCAGCAATTTGGTTTTTGTAGCACTTGACCATAAGATGATGGATAAAAATTCGTTTTTGTCTTCACTCTGTTCTGGTTTGGTTACAATGAAATTCTGCATCCTTGTAGGTGTGTCTTCCCATTATACATAACCACCAGAATACTTTGGGGTATATTTACTAGAAGATGTATTTTTTCCACATTCTTTATGGTGCATTAGTGTCAACACCTGCACACGGTGTTGATGGGTGCTTTAGGGCCTTTTACAAACAGACTGAAAGCCATTTTCTCAAAGTGAACATAAAAGCAGCACTGGTTATGATGATCAGGGCTTATGTTTCTGTGTCTTGCTTTTCAGAGCATGTCAGATAATGTATAAATATTCTCTAGGGATATGCCAAGTCAGTAAATCAGGGCCATTGGCATTACCTTAATCCCAGCATAGAAACCTTTGCTCTCTTCAGTCAATGACTGCTGCTCAGGAGTGTCCCTCATAAAAGCGGTGACAGTGCAAAAGACCTGTAATAGATAACCAGCATATGCTATAGCTTTTCTTGAAGAAAATTCATATAATTATTCATATAATTATTCCTGTTGATCACAGTTGTTAAGCTTTTTTTCTACTGTTGAAACATATTTCAGGGGTTTACTCTTTAAAAATATTTATGCCTAAATCTTGAGATTTGGAAGATTTTTTGATGCATTTAATAAGCAAGAAACATGGCTTCTGTCTTAATTAATAACACTGAATGCTTACAATGTGTTTTCTTCTGTAGTTTTTCAAACACCTCAGTTAGTGATATTAACTCATTTTAATTAGGGAGAATTTCATTGTTCATAGATGTTACTGTCAGGATTAGGACATTAGCCCTTGGGATCCAAGACTTCAGTCTGTCCACTGGATCAGATATCCTCGCTCTATACCGTGTTTGTAAGCAGGATTTTTTTAATTTAAATTAGTTTGACAGTCATCCAGTCTCAGAAACTGTGTCAGCAATATAAGAAGCTCCTTTTTTTTTTTTTCTTATTGCATTATAAAAGATGATGCAGATGTGCCTACAGGGTTTATATTAAAAAAAAAATTAAAAAAACCTCCACCAGACACAATGTACAAGGCCATTTAAGTTTTATTCCTAGCACAGTCACGCAACCTTTATCTCTGCTGAAACCGCACACCATCTGCCATCTTAATGTTTCATTGGTTTCAGAAAACCCAAACTGCTAACATAATTTCTAGGATCGTAAGATTAAACTACAGAAATTTTCCTTAAAGCAAACGACAATAGGCTCTGAATTCAGTAGTTCTGAATTATTTTTTTTTGGCCTATTCTTGGAAATGAAGTAACAGATTGTGTCATACTAAATCAATTCCAAATAGTCAGATGGCATATTTATAGCTAATGCCTTTTTTAAGCCTCGAGTAACCCATGAGGAAGAATTGGACCAACCTAATTTATTTTCTATTGTCATAAACTCCTTTGGATGGATTTTCCATCACCACCCACTGGCCGTGCTGCTCTCGCGAGCTCTCACCTGCCAGCTCAGGCACGACCCTCATGACCAGTATCAGCAAAACAAGATCAAAACCAGAATATTCCCCTATTCATATGGACAGGTGGGCATAGGTTACATACCACTCCAGAATATTTCTTTTGCCACCCTAAAAACCCTCTTCATTACCATCAAGTCATGATTTTCATCCAAACTGAAGAATCCTCTTTCTTAACTCATTTGCAGACAACAAAAATGCTCCACTGGCAATACAGAGTCATTTGTATGGCTATGGGAAAAATTAAGTGTTTTCTATGCTCTTCAGGTGGATTATTTCCAGTCCAGCTCAGACCCGGTTTATGTGCCTTTTAGGTCATTTTTGCCTTCATAAATATTCTTTTGCTGACAGCTCCAGCCAGTTTGGCTCAGAGAAAGTGGTGTTACTTTTCTGTTACCTAGATGGAAGCCTTGAGGGTGTACTGGGGAAGGTGGGAGACATGGACCTCACAGAGGAACTTTACAGTTAAAATTCCTCAGATACTTCATAGTTAGCTGGTTTGCTTCCAAAGGAGAACAAGTCGTCTCCTCAAGGTAATAAGCCCCTGTTATCATTAGATATTTATTATCTCCAAGCATTCCCTAAAGGCTCGTGTTCAGCTTACAGAGTTTGCAGAACAGTTCTTCTGCTGGGAAGGCAGAAGGCGAGTGTTGATCTTCCTCCTGCTGCTTCTCCTACAGCTGCCACAGGGAGAGTCTGCAAAATCAGGATCTGACAAGGCGGCGACAACAGAGTTCAGATAACATATATTCCCTCTATTAAAATAATACTGATCCCCTTGCAGAGCTTATTGAGCAAACTGAATGCACCTGCATTGCAGATACTATATTTAAACTTGGCGGGCTGTTTGCACTTTTGGCTTCACTGCTTTTTACTTAAAACATTCACACAGAGACTTCCCTCTCAACATGACATGTGGAGCGTTCCTGCCAAGCAAGGAGCTGTAAGGAGAAGCAGCAGGGTTGCACATGAGGATGCCTGGCACCAACGGAGGCACAACCTGGTGATCTTCCCCAAAGCGACATCCTGGGAAATGTCAGAACCCAGCCTCATTCCCTGCAAGCATTGTATTTTCTCACATATATATATTTTAGAGGTACATTTTATTGATAAAGCACTGTGGTGGGTTGACCCTGGCTGGACAAGCTGCTCTATCTCTCCCCTCCTCAGCTGGACAGGGGAGAGAAAAACATAACAAAAGGCTCATGGATCGAGATAAGGACAGGGAGAGATCACTCAACCAATTACCATCACAGGCAAAACAGACTCGACTTTGGCAAAAAATTAATTTAATTTATTACCAATCAAATCAGAGTAGGATAATGAGAAATAAAACCAAATGTTAAAACAATACCTGCCCCCCATCCCTCTCTTCTTCCCAGGCTCAACTCCACTCCAAATTTTCTCCACCTCCTCCCCTCCCAGCAGCGCAGGGGGACAGGGAATGGGGGTTGGGGTCAGTTCATCACACCTTGTCTCTGCCGCTCCTTCCTCCTCAGGGGCAGGACTCCTCACTCTTCCCCTGCTCCACTGTGGGGTCCCTCCCACGGGCTGTAGTTCCTCACAAACTGCTCCACCATGGGATCCCTTCCCTGGGCTGCAGTCCTTCAGGCACAGACTGCTCCAACGTTGGTCCCCCGCAGGGTCACAAGTCCTGCCAGAAAACCTGCTCCAGCCTGGGCTCCTCTCTCCATGGGGTCCCAGCCTCCTTCGGGCATCCCCCTGCTCCAGTGTGGGGTCCTCCCTGGGCTGCAGGTGGAGATCTGCTCCCCCGTGGACCTCCCTGGGCTGCAGAGGGACAGCCTGCCCCACCATGGTCTTCCCCTCGGACTGCAGGGGAATCTCTGCTCCGGCGCCTGGAGCACCTCCTCCCCTCCTTCTGCACTGACCTGGGGGTCTGCAGGGCTGGTTCTCTCACATATTCTCACTCCTCTCTTGGAAGCACTAGCACAGTTTTCTTTTTCCCCCTTCTTAAATGTTCTCCCAGAGGCACTACCACTGTTGCTGATGGGCTCGGCCTTGGCCAGCAGCAGGTCCGTCTTGGAGCCGGCTGGCAGTCAGACATAGGAGAAGCTTCTAGCAGCTTCTCACAGAAGCCACACCTGTAGCCACCCTGCTACAAACACCTTGCCATGCAGACCCAATACAAGCACCGAACACTAAAATAAAAAACTACTCTGTAAAAATACACTGAGATATTCTTCGACTATCAGTCCATTCCAGTTCTATCTTCAGCACTTTTGGTGATTACCACAAACTTTGCAAATTCAAAGTGTACGGACAGCCATCATGAGTTACATTTTATTTCTGTCTTTTATATAATTCCTCCCCTTGTAGTGCCTTTACCTTTTTAGGTGCATACTTCACTTCACAATCAGCAGATATGTTCATCGGCTACTGAGCTACAGGTTGACAGTTTGTCACATAATTATTATGATAGTCACTCTGAGGAGGGTTTTTTCCTGCCTTCAGCTAAATACTAGCTCTTTTTCTCCAGTTCAATAATCAAATTTTTCTTTCTCTTCTTCCCCACCCGCCCCATCTCAGGATGCAGCCTTTTTAAAGCAAAGAGATAAAAGCACCACTGACAGCAGTATGCTGATGGCCATGACAGGTTAGGCAGTATTTTTCCACAAACTCATTGGATCTGTTAAAAAAATCAAATTATATTTTTTCATTACCCCTTTTAAAGGGACAGAGATGTAAGGGTGCCCTCAGACAGGATGACTGGATTGCTTCTGGGTGTGGGCTGCTCCCTTTCCCCCAGGGACTGGCAGATCTTCCCATAGGGCAGAAAATTACTTCTAGGCACAAAATTCAGATTGAAAAAGTCCTATGCCCTGGGGATAGGATGCTCCCTCGGGAAGGGCAGGATATGCATGCAGCTCATCGCTGGGAGGACCAGCTACCCATTTCCCATCTCTCCAGCAAGCACTTGAGCTGTATTGTAGTGCCAGACGCCCCACAGTGGCAACAGCAATGGTTTAAAGTTGAAATATTTACCTTTACTAGTAGTGATCTTTCAAGGACTACACACAGCCAGGTACATCTCAGTAGGAGCTGCAGGTCTGGATTAAAAAGTAGGTGGAGGCACTTTCCTGACTCAGACATCCGATCCCCTGGGAGGTGTGGGAATTCAGCGATGCCACGCCAGTCAGTAATTTATGTTGCCCACCTGTGGGAAGCTCCCTTCTCAACAGAAGGTACCGTTTAGGGATACCTCCTTCTTCCCATTCACTGGGCAGGGAAGTCTGCGTGCTGCTTGTAAGGTGCAGGTGCCTAAGCCGTGGGTGATTAACTCTATTAACTCCAGGATTGGATCTACCCTCCCAGCTACATCACCCGTGTCAAAAGGCTGGCTGGGGCTGCAAGGGTAAGAGTCACTCAGCCACACTCATGGCCTGCAGGTGAAGGGTTGGGCAGAGAATCAATCATGCCAGGTGAAAGGGTGTCTCACGATGGCTATCAAGACCTCCGAGCTGCTGTTGTCTGCTCTATTAAACGCTAATGGGCCGGGGTTAGAAAAGCCTCGAGGAGTCGCTCTGCTGGGAGCTGGGGAGCGTGTACATGTGGGAGTGAGCTGTGGTTTACAGCCTAGATGAAAAGAGCAAAGGATGAGCAGAGCTGAAGGATGGCATTTCTAGGGAAGCCGGAGGAAAAAAAAAAGAAAATGGTTCTCATTAGCTCGAAGAAATGATCTGGCTGTAGGTATTTGCAGAAAGGGGTAGGAACAAAGTCTCTGGAAAGGCCTTCCAGAAGGGTTAGCAGGAAGGGGCAAGTAGGGAGAATCCGACTTCGAGTTAATTAATAAACTAGACCCTAAAGCTTTTGAACACAAATTGCTCCCTGTGATGGGCTCTCGGCTGCAGAAGGGAGGGAGCTGGTGCAGCGGCGTGACCCGACACCGCGGGAAGTCCAGCTCTAGTCACTTTGCTACTCACTATCTATAAAGAAGGCAGCTCTTTCTAGTTGCCAAATGGCCAAACAGTGTGTGGAGGCTGACTGTAGGTCATTCATCTGCTAAGGAAAGAAATTTTTCCAGGGCAGTAGTAAGGTGTCTTATCAGCTGCAGAGTTTGGTTCATCATCTCTTTGACCTTTTCTGCTTTAAAATCTCTGTTCAAGTCCACCCAGAGCTCTGTTTCTGTGGGCATGCTCCTCATTTTCTACCTGAAGTTTGAGAAAGACATTGTAAACTCGGGCGTAACCTACAAATAGGCAGGTCTTCCTATTTCTGTTGTTTTGTCGAGTCCAGTGGTTGAGATGGGATTAGTATTTAAGCAGGGGGAAATTTCACTCCCCTTGTGAGTGAAAATTAGTTATTTTATATATTGAGGCACTAATTTACAGTCTTTTTTACTGGGGTGTATTATTCTGCTCTTGCAGAGTGCCATGCAAAGCAACCACTTCCAGCGCACAGCTCAGAAAGCCTGGTTTTGCTTAAACATTTTTATTTTACAATGCGCATCATAGTTTATGTACGGTGAAAAATGCTCCTCGCTGTATGAACTTTTTGATTGCTGTGCTGAGCAAAATCTGCACGGTTTTCTTCTAAACACCTTTCTTAGCATAACTCATTACTCACAGTGTGCCACTATAATTTATAGATGGCTGTGCCTTGAGGGATGAAATGACCTCTGTCACTATCGCATAAATAAGGCTTAGGAATGCCAGGATTTTCATATCAGATGCAGTAGGCTTCTTTCAGTGTTTATATAGAAATAGCGGCATTTTATAGATTTATTTAAGGCCGCAATAGTTTTGCGAACATTATGCTGCCAACATTACTGTCTGAAATAACAAAATTGGAGCCCAAAGATGGGGGAGAAAAGCACACATGATGGCTATTAAAAAATAACTGGCTGTTTAGTCAATACAAGTTCAGAAATGTTGGCTGGTAAATCTCAACTCTTCTCTAAGGTTTGACTGTGTATTAAAATATATCAATAGATATTCTATTATGTGACTAACCTATTACCTGGAGACTTTTTGACAGATAAAAAATAGCGTAGATATCAATCACCTAAAAGGTGATTAAAAAAAAAAAATCTTCTCACTTGGCTGTAGCTTTTTTATCAAGAAACGAACAAAGATGCTGATTTCAGGCTATGAAAGCACTGAGACCAAATTCAGGCTATGTGCAGGTAGATGAAGAGTAGGTTAAAAAAAAGCAAGCAGTTTTCAAAACGCTGCAAATTCTGCGTCCTGGGGGACAAATTCAGCTCTGAATGCCACCCATGCACCCTGGCAGTGTGCAGCCATGGGGATGCTACCACCGGGCTGTGGATGGCAAAGGGGAAAGAGAACTGGAGAGTGTTCTCAATTCATTGTCTCCTCTCTAATATGGCTTTTGTCAGTGGGGATCTGACCTCCCTTTAAAGCTGCTTGAGGAAAAAGCCTTCCACCTGCATCTTTCATGGGCAGGTGGAAGTTACAAATGGCCTCTGTGTGGCAGAGTTTGGTCCCCAGGGTTTGACTCTCCCTTTAGTGGTGTCACCTTTCCTTTGCGGTAGCCATAGAATCAGAGAATGGTTTGGGTTGGCAGGGACCTTAAAGATCGTCTAGTTCCAACCCCCCTGCCCTGGGCAGGGACACCTTCCACTAGACCAGGTTGCTCAAAGCCCCATCCAACCTGGCCTGGAACACTGCTAGGGGTGGGGCAGCCACAGCCTCTCTGGGCAACCTGTTCCAGTGTCTCACCACCCTCACAGTGAAGAACTTCCTCACATCTAATCTAAATCTACCCTCTTTCAGTTTAAAGCCATTACCCCTTGTCCTATCACTACCTGCCCTTGTAAAGAGTCCCTCTCCAGCTTTCCTGTAGGCCCCCTTTAGGTACTAGAAGGCTGCTATAAGGTCTCCCTTGAGCCTTCTCTTCTCCAGGCTGAACAACCCCAACTCTCTCAGCCTGTCTTCATAGGAGAGGTGTTCCAGCCCTCTGATCATCTTTGTGGCCTCCTCTGGACTCGCTCCAACAGATCCATGTCTTTCTTATATTGGGGGCCCCAGAGCTGAACGCAGTACTCCAGGTGGGGTCTCAAGAGAGCAGAGTAGAGCGGCAGAATCAACTCCCTCGACCTGCTGGTCACGCTTCTTTGGATGCAGCGCAGGATACGGTTGGCTTTCTGAGCTGCAAGCACACATTGCCGGGTCATGTTGAGCTTCTTGTCAACCAACACCCCCAAGTCCTTCTCCTCAGGGCTGCTCTCAATCCACTCATCGCCCAGCCTGTATCTGTGCTTGGGATTGCCCCAACCCACGTGAAGGACCTTGCACTTGGCCTTGTTGAACTTCATGAGGTTCGCACGGGTCCACCTCTCCAGCCTGTCAAGGTCCCTCAGGATGGCATCCCTTCCCTCCAGCGTGTCAACCACACCACACAGCTTGGTGTCGTCGGCAAACTGGCTGAGGGTGCACTCAATCCCACTGTCTGTGCTGCTGACAAAGATGTTAAACATTGCCGGTCCCAATACTGACCCCTGAGGAACACCACTCGTCACTGGTCTCCACCGCTTACTAAGTTGCTTCAGGTTTACACCACTGGAGGTGAAAGGAGAGTCTGCCCCTTTGTGACTTATTAGACACCCAGAGTGGGATGGCAAACACAGTGAAATGCTTTTTTTAATCATTATTATGTAAAACTGAATTATCAGTTACAGCTGAGGCTTCATTGCTTGGTTTTCACCAGTGATGATTTATGGATAATTATAATTAGTCAAATAGGCCATGAAGACCTTTAAAAAAAATCTAGCAAGGAAGAGAACATTTTAGTCTCACTAAACCCACTAAATTAAACATGTAGTTTCAGCAGAGGACAAAGAAGGGCTTACTGAAAACTTAATATAATAAAAATGGTCTTATAAAGATTTGGTGATGCTACTAGTTAACAGAACTATATTTTGTCTGAATCTCTTAGGATTGTTAAAACTAGATTTGAAGTGATTGCAAGTGAAATTATTTTGATGAAAATATCTCTTCGTAACACAAACTTGTCTTAAACTGGCAGAATTTTCTGCCTCATGTTGTAAAGTAAGTGAGGGCAGCATCAGTCAGATTCTGAACTCAGGAGGCATAATTACAAGGAGAAATGAGAAAAAACTATCTAGATTGTGCTACTGTTATAAATGACTCATCCTTTCAAGAACTGGAAAAGCTTGTTCACATTTCTTAAACATCTTAAATATCTCAAAGAAGAGCTGCAAAACGCCAAGACTATTTCCAACCTACTTTTAACACAAGGCCATTATCCCTGTTTATTTTTTCAGTTTGTTGTAGCATCACTAATAGCTCTCTGTCTATAAAAGTTATGAACCTAATTTAAAGTTAAAAGTCTTGTTTCTGTACCATGAAAGGCCATGAATTCATACACAAGTCAATTTTTTCCACATCTTGTATTGGCTTCTGTTTTGTTGTTGTTGTTGAAACTAGATCTGTGTTGCTATGTAAGCCATCAAATATACTTCTTAAAGATTGTTTTGTAATGAACTCTATCTTTCAGTATGCTATTGAACCAAGAATTTGGAATCAGAGAGGCAGAACACCATGAAAAAGACCATAAAATAAAGCTCCCTCTATTTTAAAATGTACCATCCTTCTTTTCTGTGAAAAGATGTTATTGTGTCTCTGGTCCATGAGTATAAAAATTACTGAGTGCATATAGCTGAGCCTGCCTCTACTGCAAATTCTTGCTGCTGAAAGATACAAAAAATATTAAGCAAAAATTGGCTCAGGCACATGTACCTGCTACTCATACCAACTTCATGGCATTCAAGCAGCAATGTAAGTGCAAATATTCAAGTTGCCTTTAGAAAATAGTAAAATGGATAGCTTCTGTGAACTCACAGCAATTTAAAGAAACGTTACAGATCCTGAATCTGGTAAACGCTATTTAATAATTTTGTGGCGAAACAGTTTTCTGCAGTAGTTGTAAGTACAGTGAGCGAGGAGCAGCACTAATAAAAACGCAACAAAGGTTTAAGAAAAGGATTTGATCCCCCCGAGCGTTTGACCTTTTTTGCTGAAGGAGGGGTGACATTACCGTGTCTCCCAATCTGAGATTGACGCCGTTCATCTCTACGTAGGAAAACGACTGCAGGGTGGTGTCGCGTTGAACCTGCTCTTTCTTGCCAGGGGTGGACAGGCGCGACCAGACCACCACGTACCGCAGCAGCGGCTTTGACGGGGGGCGGCTGAAAGTGCACTTCAGGTGGACGCGACCTTCCACAAGCTCGGGAGTTATCACCGGTTGCAAAGCCAGGCTTGTGAGTTTGTCTGGAAGAAGGAAACAAAAGAGGGATGTAGCACAAAATGTTATTTTAATCTCACAGTTGTTCACTCAGCAAGAAGATTTCAATATAACTAAACATGGGAGAAATGCTACATTTTATATTCTTGTGATTTGATTATTAACTATGCAAGCAAGAAAATGTATTTCATACCACGTGCAAAAATTGCTAATTGTATACTGACTACCCATTGTTGTTTTAATAGTTGACCTGGTTTTTTTGTGTTTGGTTTTGTGGTTTTTTTTTATTTTGCAGTAAGAAAAATGTTATTGAAATGAAACAGATTAATACAAATTAATTACTCTGGCAAAGGCCATCAGCTTTGCATTCCCCTGAAGCACAGCCTTTTGATCCAAGTTTTGCAATAAGTACAGAAGAGATATGAGAAATCATTATGTTGCAGAGGTAAACTGACTCTCAGAGAGCACCCAGCCCATATTGCCATGCTGTGAAGATCCTTTCCAGGCTGTTCTGAGACATACCTAGGCTGAGTCTGCTCAATATAATCTCCCTCTGCCCAGAATAGTGCCATTGCTCTAAAAATACAGCCTGCTTTCTATAGGCTTCAACAATTAATGAAGCTTGAAACTTTTCTTCCTGTTAAACTCACCTAGAAAGTAGAAACAAAAAGATGTATAATACTGTAGGGTGATGTTCTTTCATCTCTAGAGACTCAGACTCAAATGGAACATGAAGCTGGTTCAGATGCTTTGAAAGGATGAATTAAGTAACTTTTTTGGAGTAGTGTAAAAAATATTATGGAAGCCCAAGAGAGTAAGGTATGAGGCTGTTATAGCAGAATGAAGAACCAATATGTTAACATCTGTCCAGGGCAAATAACAAGAGGCAAGAAAAAGAAACAAGTTACTTAAAAAATGAATAAGGGCCAGTTGTTTATATCCCTTTCTCTTTTGTTTCTAAGGGAAGCTGCCTCAAACTGTGGCTCACATCATGACTTTCTGCAGGAAATTATTCCAGAAGGACAAAGTTAGGTGATCAGCTCATGGGAAGATGTGAGCAGAATTGCAAGCACATACGCCGCTTTTCCCAGCCGTGTCCTTCCTGCCAAGCTATGAAGCTTTAAATTCATTTTGTTTTGCAGCTCAGAAGTGCCAACCGATGTCCTGTTTGTGAGCCTCCAGCGGACGGGGCTGGGGGATTGACCCCGGCAAGAAGCCGTGACGATGCCAGCTGGACCCGGCTCTGGGGCTGCGGAGAGGCTCCTGTGGTGCAATGTTCACAGCTGAATTTAAGACAGGGAGTTAACAACCCCAGTTCAAAACTTCAGCTTTGGATGTTTTCCATCCAGTACTCGATACTGCAAAAACATCCTAAAGACAAGAAGTTAAAGACTCGGGAGAGCTGGACCTCACTGAAATGCCTAGGAAAAAGGTGAAAGTTTTGACGGCAGTGGTAAGAAAAAGGCAGAAAGTCATTGGTTTGGGATAGATGGAGAGGGACAAACCTTTTATGAAAAACGCAGGCAGATTTACATTGCTAAACAAGTGTGGATCAACAGAAAGGACAAAACTAATCACCCAAAAGGTATTGGTAAAAAAATTCTTCAAGCAAGGGTGCTGGAAATCTTATAGTTTAAAAAAAACCCCAAACTTAAACTGGAAAATGGCTGTATTCAGCTAAAAAGTCATTTCTGAGACAGAATCGTGGAAATTAAAGAGCAGTTTCATTTATTTTAATGGATATTTTTTATTTCAAATAGTGAATTAATCTCACTTTCTTTGAGCCTTTTTTTTCTCCCTCTTCTTCATGTGGGAATGTTAAAATATTGATAAAGATAAGAAAATAGATATCTCTCTCTTTAAAATTTATTTAAGCTTGAATTTTGCCTGATTGAAAGGTGATAACCCTAGTTTCTTGGTGTGTCATGTCTCTGTCCAAAAATGCTGAAAGGAAAGTATAAAAGTATTTTTTTCCTTTTGAGAAAGAACTGTCTTTTCTGACTAAATCTATATGCACCTGAACATGCTCTGAAGTTCAGAAGGTTCAACTGAGTGAGCAATTGCTTTCTGCTATTCCTTTGTTTCCTAGCTACTGAACAGAGGTTAGATCTCTTGTAGTAGGCTGAAAATTATTTCTGACGAGAGTAATTATATAAATGTCATGAAAAAGATGTTATCTGTTGGGTTTTTTTTTTTCTTTCTGGAGTTTCAGAATTATCTTTTGGGGGGGAATACTGGATTATTGAAGATAAGTACAGACCTTAGATACAGTGTCATGGGTACAGTGCCTCAATAAAACCGAGATGCCTCTACTCACTACGTGTGCAGCTTCAAGCCAAAGTGGAGCCAAAGACAGTAGGAAAGGTTACATGTGAACTGTAACCAAGCAAAGAATACTTCAGTAATACACACCAGATTACATTTTGCACTGGTAATAATAGCTATTCTTCAGGAACGCCTTAGACTGCTGCTGATTTATTTTCTACGCAGTCTGCATCTTGCTGGGAGCGATGCTTGACTTGCAAGGTCACCGAGATGTGCATTGCAATACCAGGACCTTTGAACACAGAGCCAGAGAAGCATATGCGACCTTATTGATAAATACTTCACTGATCCTCACCTTCCGCGCAGTAGCCCATGCATCCTTGAGTAGGCTGCAGGAGGTACACAAAGAATTCCCCGCAGTTCCTGACAGCGACGGGTATCCGAAACAAGCAGCAGTCCTTGGTGCCCCCGAAGAAGACCTGCCAGGTAGCACAGGCCGTGAGTCGCTTGCTCTCACCAGGAACTGGCAGGGATTCGGACTTCAGCGACAGCCACACCGGAGCTTGCGTCCCACATTTATTCATCTGAAGATGCACACAAAAGAAACCGTTTGCAGGTGAAAGGGGTAAGACTCCGTGGAGAATCACTAAAACCCAAGAATTTGACTGTGGTGAACTTGGAGGGTCAGTGAAAAAGCTGTGTAGGTGGGGATGAAAATGTCTTGCTCGGTTTAGAGAGGTGACTTTACACAGATAAAATTCTCAAAGAACACAATAACTGGATTCCAAAGTATTTTCCTCTATTTTCAGTTGGTTTGTATGAAAGAGATGAAAGCATGTAAACAGGCTAGATCCCTTCTCTGGGAAGCACGCTTTGGGGCATGCCAGCTGGCCATTCCCATCCGTGCTCCGTCTGTGGCGGAAGAAAGCAAAGAATAACGGAGCACGAGGGGTAAGACCATACTGAAGCAGGACACCGCTACGCTCAGAACATCACACACCAGCACCTTCCTCCAAAACAGCTGCAGCTTCAGCTGCCGTTGTCCTGACAGCTCCTGCCTTACCCCTCCAGCACATCCCGGACACATCTCTGGGGCCTGAGCCTCTCCCTCGTTCCTGAAGGGAAACACATCTGGAGGATGTAAGAAGCACATGTGCAGGGTATACATGATTTGATCACATTTTCTGGGGTTTTTGACCTTCAGGCTTCTATCTATTAACAGATTTCCTGAATACCCTGAACACAGGAAATCCCAAAGTAGAAGGGGTTGGCCCTAAATGGTTTAGACTGCGGCATTTGGAGTCATGGCTGGGAGAGGCTGCACCAGATTTACCTTTCCCAACTGACAGACGGATGTTCAGGCATCTCGGATCTGAATTGCCCTCTGTACCTGCCTGGCTCTTCCCACTGACTAGAGGGACATGATTATCCAAAGCTGCCTTTAAGTACCTCAGTGAGGAGATTAGGTATAATTGGAGCCTAATAAAATATACACAGCCAATTACAATGGTAACTTGTTATTCTGCACTGTTACCTACCATTTGCCAATATGCAAAGCATACAGATATTTGAGCTAAAGTTTGAAAATTATTACCAAATACTGAAAATAATTTACTCCCAGATATCAGTCATGTTCCACAGAGCGTGACTGCTGCCGTTGCTTTGCATTTCTTCAGCCAGCGATAGTGAACTACCTCTAATAGTCCGACTCCGGGGACACGCTTCCTCCTGGTGTGAACATTTGGCTATAGATCACATTGAAAAAGAAAAACTCACTATTTTTTCCCATTGGCCTGGGTTTGCTGCTTCACTTTTTAAGATCAAAAGTTGTTTGTGACAGCAGGGGAAGCGGTGAAAGTCAAAGGATAAATTTATTAAGTCACGCGCCAGTGCCCTCCTGTAGTTTGAATTTTACCTGGGAGCTATACAAGCCAGAAAGCGGGGACGGGGAAGCGGGGGCTGCACACCCAGAAGAAGAAGGTATTTGAAGAAATTAAAGCATATGGCATGACACAGTCTGATTTCCTTTTGGAGCTAGTTATTGTCAGGCTTCTGAAAACAAGAGACACCATTAAAATTGTCCAAAGTCTTTTTTATCCCCCAGAAATGTGCCAGCAGCCGAGCAGAGGGGCTGACCCTGCCCTCCCATTCAAGTGCCAGTGTTCCCAGTGTCCCTGCAGAAGGCACTGGAGGTCATCCAGTGCAGCAGGTCGCCGGGGAGAAACAGCGTGCCGGCGTTGCGTTAGCAAAGGAGAGGAGGGGATCAGCATAAAAATGCTTTTACGTGGAACTTTAGACACATCCCTTCCCTTCCTTTATTTAAAAGCCACGTTGTGTGTAACTTTTTAAGAGGTTTGTTCTGCTTATTTATCTACAGCTTTAAGGGACACCGGTGCTTTCTGTGCTGGGAAAAATGCAGATGTTGGGAATTTGTTCTATCCTGGTGAAATTCTGACCTAGAGAATGAGATCTGATGTGAAGTAACATGTTTCCAAAGCATGTTTATAAGCATACACCTGTAATTACACAGAAGACTGGAGCAAACATCATCCAGAGAAGTACTGTACGCGAAGGAAGAAGGACAGGCACGGAGAGAAGGACAGCAACTGGAGCTCAGCGGTCACTGCTTCATACGAATTTTATCTTCTTGCTGAGATACTTGCACCTTGAATTTCCTTTTACTCCAGGTAACTGCTGACATCAGTGCCTCTGCATGCGGGAGTAAAGGTTGCTGGACTGAATCATTATTTTTCAAATGCCGTTGAAATGCAGGTATTTGTGAGTGTACCTCGCAGGTGTTTTGAACCCCACAAGCTGGGAAGAATTAGAGTAGGGGGGCACAGAGCAGAAGAGATGAATGAGCGCTGGAGCTCCACGGGTGTGTGTGAGCTCACAGAAAGCCCTGAAGGAAAATATTTTGGAAAGGAGACACAGCGCAGCCTACCCATCCCTCCTGGGGTGCTCTCCTGAGGACCTGACCCCACGGCTGGCACTGGCGCTCGCTGCCCAACAAGGAGGAAGAGGAGGAGGAGGAGGGATGCCGGAACCTCTCATGCCATGGGAAGCATTCCCCCAATGCTGCTAACAGCCGCTGCAAAGAGCTGTTGTCGCCTTTTAATGACATTTGGCTGCTGAATGGTGACCTTCATCGCTTCGAGGTGACTTGATCTCCTGCAAATACCTGTGGCTCAAGGAACATTTGCACCCATGGCTGAACAAACTGAAAAAATACTCCAACGATTTTCTGTAGAAGACCTTTTGCTGCTCAAAATAAGCTGTTGCATCCATTTGCTCCTGCCTTTGCCAGCGTAACTGGCCCCGACATGTCAGCACTGCTCCATTTGGGAGTGCGGCCGCTGGGCTGCCTCTGGCCAGGCACGCACGGTGCCTCAGTTTCCCCAGCTGCTGCCTGAGCTTGGGCAAATCACTTACTCTTTGTGTACCTCACTTCCTTATCTCTAAACTAGACGTAGAGGTGGCTGAGATGGTAATAGCACTTCCCTGCCTTGCAGCAGTGCTGAAAAGATAAATTCATTAATGAGACACCCATCTATCTGCTGTGCTGTTGGCCATAGAGATAAATAGACAGACACAAGTGCATTCTGGCTGCGAAAAAAAGCCAAAAAGCGGTCCATGTGTAAAAGTGGGTCTGTATCCCCTGTTATCACATAGAGGAAAAAAACCACTGCTGAAATAAGAGGATGGTGACTTTCTCCCTCTTTGTATTTATCCTTGCCACAAGTCTGTGAGCCATTTCAGTGCTCGAGAAAGTATGGATTAGCATCACTGATGTCAGCCGCCAGCATTGTGTGCAGGCTTTCTGATAACACCCCGCTGTGATCTGCAGCACCCCGGATTTGTTCTGGCAAATCTTGTGCTGAAACCGTTTGAGCAAAATAGTTTATTATGTAATGTGCACAAATTACAAGCAGTAATGAACCCTTTTGACTGATTTTGCACCCAGGAAAAGTCAGACTGTGAGAAAGCAAGTTATTGTAACAAACTATGATACAGTATTACAGGCTGGCCAAGGAAGAATTTGAGTATAAATCAAATATTTCTGTTTTCCTGGCAGCTTTATGACATACGTGCATTTATTTTCGGCTTTGAGCTACATGTTGTCCATCTCAGTCAGGCGAGTTGCCCCATGCTAGCTGAAAGGATTTGCTGCGTGAGGCCTCTGTGAATTAGAAAGCAGACCTGGGAAGGCAAGGGCAAATGTATATTCATGTATTCAACCAGCATTACAGATAAGAACAGAAAAAAAAAACAAAGAAAAAATATTTTAAAAAAAAAGTCTAGGAGAAGAGACTTCAAAAAGCCAAAATTTTCAAGTCCCAGCTGTAGCATAATTAGCATTAAATTTTGTAGCAGTCATTTGGGAGAGTAAACAGAAAATGGAATACAGAGGTAGTAAACAATTGGCATTTAAGATATAGCATTTACCTGCAATAACTACAGTCATGGCTGCTCTATGAATAGCACGAAGCTGTGGGAATCTCACACCATAATTCAGCAGCATTTCCAAACTGAAGAAGAGGAATTATACATCTGCTTCCCCAGAAGAGCAAACTCTGCCAGTCTGTCACAGGCAGGAGCTCGTCTGCTGGGAAGCCGGTGGTGGGGATCAGACCCTGGCTTTGCTGGGGTTCTCCAGGCCATCTACGTAATTTAGACTGCACAGGAGCACTATTGCTGTGGCATGCAAAATATCCGTGCTTCCCACTCGAAATGGAAGCTACACAAACAGGAAGAAAAATAAGCTACAATGCCAGCAGCACTGGAAAATACATGTGTGCCTACAGTCTGTCCATTTATCTCTGAGTACATTGGTAGGTCTGATGAGAAATAGTCTCTCTCCCTACAGATCCTGTCTCCCTTACGCGTCTTTACGCAATGTCCTGGATGGTGAGCTGCAGTGGACGTCTCATTAACACTCCACGGAAGAGATCACAAGCATTTGGTTGTTTCAGTTGACATGTTTACTTGGACTTGCAACTGATCATTGTCATGGGAAGTTAGTGAAGTAAACTATATTGTTGTAAATGACCTAAATTTAGGTCATTCAGTGCATCTGAATCAGCTATCCAGTGACACAGCTTGCACAAACGAGAACTTATCTAACGCAAAAAGGAGTTTTTAGGTTGTTTCCAGGCTTCTTTAGTGCTCAGTATCCTTTCATACTTTATCCAATTACAATTAAGTGGTGTTTTTAATCTTCAAAGCATTTTATAAACCTTACCTAATTAATCTTCGCAACACCTCTATGTGGCAGGTAAGCATTCATTAAGTATTTTTGATTCGTAATTAGGCACCAGCTAATCTTTTAAATAATTCAGTTCAGAAAACCTAAATGAAAAAAAAATTAAATTTGATCCCCCTTTGCCAAAACAATGGGACAAACCATTCTTGTTTAATCCAATGATGTCTCCTTCCATTTAGTTGGGGTTTGGAGAATCAACTCATTTGATTGATTGAACACTCTAAGGTTCTTTATAATTGCACAAAGAAATCAAGCTTGATTGTTCTTGTCACTTGGGTATTGCACTGAAATTATGCTGTTAAAAATAAGTAGCACCATATG